GTGTAGCTCGGGCTAAAGTTTCAGTACCAAAAGCAGTAACCCCGAGCTACACTCGGGCTCACCATGTGGCGCTGCATAGGGAGTCCCTGCAGAGCTTACCTTGTCCTTCGCTCCCGCGATGTGTCCCCTGCAGTGTCCCCGGCCATCTCCTCCGGCCGATGCCAGCATCCGGCTTCTGTGTTCCGATCCCTGTGACGTCGGGACGTACGGGCGCCACCGCGGCGGCGGGAAATTTGAAAATTTTAAAAATTGTCATTTTTTTCCAAACAAATTTTACATAGTAAAACATTGCTGTTTCAACCCATTTCACATACATTTTGTCCCGAGTGCTTTGTCCGGCGCCCTGCCTGCATTTTGTCTGTTCTTTCTGCCTGGAAACTGAGAAAAGTCCATGGCGTCCAAAAAGCGTCCCTTTAGGTCAAAAGCGGTTTTAGATCAGCTAGAGAACAGCGATAGTAAATCAGAACCACTTGCAGAATTGAGTGATAATGATTCGTGGGGGAAATTCCTCATCAGACACTGAAAACGATTTTGCGACTTTGCTCAGTAATGTGCGAACTTAGCGCTATATTTCAAATTTCAGTGATTTTGGTTTGATTATATTATTGAATTAAATTGTATTATTATTATATTATTATTTTTTATGATTATTTATTAAATTATAATTTATAATTTCGTGTTTCAAGATTTATCATATCCGGAATGTTTATTAGACTCTTGTTCAGACAGATTTCAGTGAGTTATTCCTAAAAATTACAGGCCTGCAATAAAAAAAACTACGTATTTCCATGCAAAAAAAAATGGTACCGCTTTCAGCACCAAAAATCTGACATAATCATACCGCTAGGGAGAGTTAAAAATACATATAATCTACATTTTTGGAATCCATTTACAAATATATGTAAATATATGTAAAAATATATGTTAAATTTACTTTTTTATATGTTAAAAAAAATCTGAAGAATATATTTAAAAAAAAAATTATTTTGAAAAATATTTTTCATATATTTTGTAATATATAAAAAAAAATTTCAACATACAGTCAGGGGCAGACTGACCATTTGGAAACTCGGGCACTGCCCGAGGGCCCGGGGTCAGTAGGGGGCCCCATGAGATGCCCCTGGTACCTTTTTCAAAGGCTTTTTTGAGTTTGGGCAAGGACACAGGGGCCCCATGATCCCCCATTGCCCGGGGGCCCCATGAGTTGTCAGTCCGCCCCTGCATACAGTATATATATGACGCCCTCCCAGGACTGGACGACGGCGCTGTAGCCGTCATTCGGCAAGTGGTTAAATTAGCCACAGAACCGGTGTAATTAATCTATGTCTGAGTTTAAAGAGAAGAGGTGACAACCCTAGAAAGGGGGTAAAAGTTCCCGGTAGGCAAGTGGTTAAATGAATGCAATACAAGCTGTCGAGGTGTGTAAATATGTTGCGCACCTATGTGCTGTATATGTATATCCAGGGAGAACCAGAACAGGAACAGAATGTCATCATTCAATAAAAGTTCCAAGCTGTTGACTTTCCCTCCTCCACACTTTCTGGGACATGTTTAAGCATGAAAACATTTCTTTCTGGGGATGTGCATGATCCTTCAGCTTCACTTATTAACAGCTGTGACTGTCTTCCCTCAAGTCACAAATACTGATCTGACACTTTGTGTCTTGAAAATGGATATTTGTTTATTTGGCATTATGTAAGACATTACACAAGCGACCTGAATTTACTACATACTGAAAACATACACTTCCAGCATTTAAAGAGATACTCCACATAAATCGCACATTGCAATGATTACTGATGCAGATTTTGTTGCAGTTGCAGATTTTTAACAACTTCTGTTGCAAGATTCTGAAATGGGGGGGTGTGTCTCTTCCCTCCAATCAGCTCTCAGAGTCTCCTCTCTGAGCTGTGCAGTGTGTAATTTCATCTCTCCACTCCCTGTTTTCTGAAATCTCAGACAAGCTGTATACATTCTGGACTTGGGGATGTAGAGAAGAGAAAACTGCAGATAAACAGGTACAACTTATGCAGGAGGATTTGTTTCATCTGTGTGTACCCAGTTCGCAGGGTATATGGAAGGATTTACAGCCACTTTAGGGATGTCGATGATGTCAGTGCCCTTATACCCACATGGAAGAAAAATATATTTTAAATATATTTTAAAAATATTATTCCCAAATATATTGCTATATATTTGAAATGCTACAATTTTGGCCATATTCAATATATATATATATATATATATATATATATATATATATACTACATGTTGAAATACGTTTTTTTTACAAAATATATGAAGACAATTTTAAAAATAGATTTCAAATATACTGTATGTCTTTAAAAATACAAATCTACATTTTTGGAATGCATTTACAAATATATGTAAAAATATATGTTAGAATTACTTTTTTTATATGTTAAAAAAAATCTGAATATATTTAAAAAATATCTATTTTTTTAATATATTCTAGATTTTTTTAACATATAAAAAAGTCATTTTAACATATATTTTTACATATATTATAAATGCATTCCAAAACTGTAGATTTGTATTTTTAAAGACATACAGTATATTTCAAATGTATTTTTAAAAATATTTTTCATATAGTTTGTAATGAAAATGCATTTCAACATACAGTATATATATATTGATATGGTCAAATTGTAGCATTTCAAATATATGTCAATATATTTGGGAAGAATATTTTTAAAATATATTTAAAATATAATTTTCTTCCATGTGGGTATAAGGGCACTGACATCATCAACATCCCTAAAGTGGCTGTAAATCCTTCCATATACCCAGCGAACTACCTGGCCCCAGATGATACACAGAGATGAAACAAATCCTCCTTTGTTATCTGCAATATATATATATATATATATATATATATATATATATATATATCCTCCTGTTTATCTGCAGTCTTCTCTTCTCTACATCCCCAAGTCCAGAATGTATACAGCTTGTCTGAGATTTCAGGAAACAGGGAGTGGAGAAATGAAATTATACACTGCAGAGCTCAGTGAGGAGAGCTCTCTGAGCTGATTGGAGGGAAGAGACTCACCCTCCCTTCACACAGCACACAGGAACAGAGCTGAGGCTGTCAATCACAGGCTGTGTGTTGGACATCCCTCCCCGGTCACTTTTTTTTTCTTGATGTCAGGAAAACCTGTCAGAAGTGATTCATGCTAATAGCAGAGGAACGAGGCAGCAAACAGAAAAGACACTTAGTGCTCTGGATTGAGACAAGTACACAATACAGCGGGATATGCTTTGTTCATATATTTCATGTCTGAGGTTTACAGCCACTTTAATTCTTACTCAGTGTGCCAATAGAGTGCTAAATTATGTGACGTGCAATGCACAGTGCTGAATTAAAAAGATAATGAGAATCCAACAAACGCAACTTACTGTATAATACAAAATCAGTCTGAACCCCCACAGAGTTTATATTACAACCTGTATGATCCAGCTGTGACACAATCTCATTAAACCAAATGTATCACCTGCATACAAAATCCCATGCCTTAATTTTTTTAAAGCCGGAAAGAAAACAATATTTTTTTTATTTTCTGTTATAAAATGTATCCAATAAAAAAAACTTAAAAAAATCAAATTTCTTCAAAAAATGTAGGACAAAATGTATTCTGCTACATGTCTTTGGTATAAAAAAAAAAAATCACAGTAAGTGCTTATTAATTGGTTTGTGTGAAAGTTGTAGTGTCTAAAAACTATGATATATATACTGGAATTTTTTTTCTATATACTAGTAATGACGGTGAGCAACGACTTATACTGGAACTGTGATAGTGCGGCGGGCAATCTGACACTGACACTGGGTGGGAATTGACTAACTGTCACTGACATCTCCAGTGACACTAATACAGTGCTATTAATATACACTGTCACTGTACTAATGACACTGGCTGGGAAGGGGGTAACATATATACTTTGGGCACACTGAGCCCCGGGTCTTTTCCTGGAGAGGATTGCATCAGCCCAAGAGGGGACACGCTGTTCTCCCAGGCACCTGCTGCCATGTGGCCTCAGGTGGGTGACCTGAGGGTCTGAAGTAAGAGAGAAAGCGGGTCCTGGTTCTTCAAAAGGCTGACTGAGGGGGTGTCTATTGAAGATCTGGTCTGGTATTACGGAGAAGAGGCTACCAGCTGTTCTTTTGGACCTTGTGAGTACAGACATACTTAACCCCTTCGCACCGACGTCACACAAATATGCGGCCTCACAGAACTGGGCTTTTTTCCGTGGGGCCGCATCAGGGGCAGACTGACAACTCATGAGGCCCCCGGGCAATAGGGGATCATGGGGCCCCTGTGTCCTTGCCCAAACTCAAAAAAGTCTATGAAAAAGGTACCAGGGGCAACTTATGGGCCCCCTACTGACCCCGGGCCCTCGGGCAGTGCCCGAGTTTTCAAATGGTCAGTCCGCCCCTGGGCCGCATATTTGCATACCTATCTTTCTGCTGGGAGCACGCCGCACAGCGTGCTCCCAGCACAAAGACTGCAGTGTCACTGAGAGCCCCGGGATCCCATTCTAATGATCGGGACCTGGGACTCCCGATTCTGGGTCACATGATCGCTGTGATAACCTCTGATTGGCTATCACAGTAATCAATCACTGTATAGCTCGCCCCCATTGTTTTTTTTTTCTCTATGAATGGAGGAGAGAGATACATTGTATCTCTCTAACTCCTGGCATAGAGGGGAAAAATGTTTGTAAAAAAAAAAAAAAAAAAAGATAAATATTTAAAATTAAAGAAAAAAAAAAAAGAAAAAATACCTAGATCAAGGTTTGATCTAGTTCAGTGCCAGGGTAAGTGTTTGGGTCAAGGTCAAAAGGTCAGGGTCAAAGGTCAGGATTTTTTAAAATTGGTATCAGTGTCAGTTAGTGTCAGTGTGGGGTTAAGGATTTCATAGACTATTGCTGTTGACCCCTCTGATGTGCTATAGTCAGCTAAGGGTCCAGCCAAGGGAACACTGGCTAGTATTCTAAAGGGTTCTGTCCATTTACTCTTTGCTCCATGCACTCTAACCCAGGGGCGGACTGACAACTCATGGGGCCCCTGGGCAATAGGTCCTAAGTACCTGCAGCCTGTGCCAATATGATGGGGAAGCTGGTCCTGCACTTCCATCCATCTTTATATTAATAAGCTGAACCTGGTCACAGGGGTGGATTGACAACTCATGGGGCCCCCGGGCCATAGAGGATCATGGGGCCCCTGTGTCCTTGCCCAAACTCAAAAAAGCCTATGAAAAAGGTACCAGGGGCATCTCATGAGGCCCCCTACTGACCCTGGACCCTCGGGCAGTGCCCGAGTTTCCAAATGGTCAGTTCCGCCCCTGCTCTATCCTGAAGTTACCGGTACTGCAAAGGATAGTCTTCTACCTGCTTCAGCGAGGACTTCAACTAATGCTCAACCAGAGATCATACAGAGTCCTCCATTGTATAAAGTTCTATTCCTGGAGTATTCCAGTAAATTTCCCTCTCGCTATCCAATTGCTCCAATAATAAAACTACAAAACAACAACGTCAGATGTCAACCAGAAGTACAGCGGCCGCCATTTTGGAGAAGGTGTTGGACTAGATGTTGTATGCTGGCTTTCTTTTATGTAAGAGTTTTTTTAGCAAATAAAGAGCTCTGATTTTATTATACTACATTATGGTCAATTTTGTTTGTTTCCACATGGATGACTGTTGATTGGAGAACCAGTGGCATAGGGAACTATAGGAGTCGGAGTGGCGGTTCATGGGACTGTTATGCTCTATATATAATATGAGAGTTTGGGAAGGTACATGATTTATAAGGTGGATTAAGGCTGGCCATACACTATACAATTTTCTCTCCAATTTCTTCCTTTAGATTTACCTTCAACTATGTAGTACAAGAGCCCGCCTAATTGGATACAATTGAAAGTGTTGTTAGGTTTGACCTCCTATTATATGGTTTTTAGTAAATCAAAACCAAAAATCTCAAGAAAATTGTATAATGTATGGCCAGCCTAACACTATTGGTGGATGGAACACACATTTGGGGTGATTATAGAGTTGGAAAGAGTGCGAGTACAATTACCTTAACCCCGTCACACCTAAGGGTAAAACAAATCTTAAAGTCTAAGCACAATTTTGCAACTTTGACATGTGTTAGTAAAACCGTACATATCATCACAACCAGGGGCGGACTGACCAGTTGAGCACTCAGGCACTGCCCGAGGGCCCGGGGTCAGTAGGGGGCCCCATGAAATGCCCCTGGTACGTTTTATGGGCTTTTTTTGGATGTGCTTTGAGTGTGGGCAAGGACAAAGGGGCCCCATGATCCCCTATTGCTTGGGTGCCCCATGAGTTGTCAGTCCACCCCTGATCACAACTACTTTGTACATCCAGGTGAATTGTACCTTGTTTTTTTCAGGACAAATTGGACCTTCATTTGGTGGTAAATGGTAATGGATATCTCCTGATTTTTTTTCATTATTAAAGGAAAACTGGCCCAAAATATTAAAAAAAAATTTTTTTTTAAATTTAGCTGTGTGTTTCTTGTTACTACCATAACCTACCACCAAAGAACAACCCAAAATAAATTTTCCAACTCTTGACGATCGCAGGGATACCATATATGTGTATGTTATTTGTTGTTTGTACCTGTAGTACAGCCCAGAAACAACAGTGCGCATTTTGTTTTTTGGGGGTTTTTTTTACCTAAAACACACTGACACTGATACCAATTAAGTCCTCATGCACACGGGACACTATTACAGCGGCTGTTTTTGGCTTTTGATGTTTTTTTTCTACAGCCAGTAAACCCCCCAGCATGTTATCCTATGTGTCCATACACACATAGACTGTAATCAACGTTTTTTGGTTGTAAAAAAATCTAGAACTAGTGGATTTCTAGAGGAGTTTTTTAGCTGTAAAAACGCTCTAACGCTGAAAAATATGGCAAAATGTGGTAAAACGCCGCAAACCGATGTTTTTCGGATGTTTTTTTGACAAAAAAATTTTTTTTTAAAAAAAAAAAAAAACCTCTAAAAAATGCAAACACGAGGAAGACCCACTAATCACGGCAAAATGCCGCTAAACGCTAATGCAAAATGCTTAAAAAAAGCTGAAAAACTCACATTTTTAACGTGACTTTACACAACTAACGTTACCAGCGTTGTCAAAACGTCCCGTGTGCATGAGGGCTGGAAAAAAAAAAAAATATGACCTTTGACCCTGACCTTGACCCAAACACTTACCCTGGCACTGAACTAGATCAAACCTTGATCTAGGTATTTTTTCTTTATTTTTTAATATTTATTTAATTATTTATCTTTTTTTTTACCAGGTTTTTTTTTTCTCTATGCAAGGAGTTACAGATATACAATGTATCTCTCTTCTCCATTCAGTGAGAAAAAAAACCAAGGGGGCGGGCTGTACAGTGACTGATCACTGTTATAGCCAATCAGATGCTATCACAGTGATCATGTGATCGGGAGTCCCAGGTCCCGATCGTTAGAACGGGACCCGGGGCTCTCAGTGACACCTCGGTCTTTGTGCTGGGAGCACACTTTTCAGATATTTATTTGTAAAAAAAATTTGAAAACCATTTATCATTTTCCTTCCACTTCACAATTATGTGCCACTTTGTGTTGGTCTATCACATAAAATCCCAATAAAACACATTTACGTTTTTGGTTGTTACATGACAAAATGTGGAAAATTTCAAGGGGTATGAATACCTTTTCAAGGCACTGTATCTGTTTATAAGGAACATCAACTGTTAACCCTAGTAAAACACTCCCTGCACACAGTTAACCCTTTGATCGCCCCTCATGTTAACCCCTTCCTGCTCAGTCCCATTAGTACGGTGTCAGTGCTTTTTTTTAGCACTGATCACTGTATTGGTGTCACCAAGTCAGTTCCCCCCCAGTGTCAGAATGCCCGTCGCAGTCTCGTTATAAGTCACTGATCGCCGCCTTTATTAGTAAAAAAAAAAAAAGTTCCAGTATCTATACCGCCATTTGTAAACGCTATAACTTTCACATAAACCAATTAATTTACAAGTATTGGGATTTTTTTTAGCAAAGACATGTAGCAGAATACATTTTGGCCTAAATTTATGCTGAAATTAGATTTTTTAAATTTTTTTACTGGATATGTTTAATAGAAAAAAGTAACAAATGTTTTTTTCCCAAAATTGTCGATCTTTTTTTAATAGCGCAAAAAATAAAACCCGCGGAGGCAATCAAATACTATTGAAAGAGAGCTCAATTTGTGGGAAAAAAAGGACGTACATTTCATTTGGGTGCAGCGTTGCATGACAGTTAACCTCCCTAGCGGTCTGATTATTTCAGATTTTTGGTGCTGCTGAAAGCGGTACCATTATTTTGCATGGAAATATGTTGTTTTTTTATTGTAGGCTGTAATTTTTAGGAATAACTCACTGAAATCTGTCCGAACAAGAGTCTAGTAAACATCCCGGGTATGATAAAATTTGAAACACGAAATCATAAATTATAATTTAATAAATAATCATAAAACATAATAATATAATAATAATACATTTAATTCAATAATATAATCAAACCGAAAACACTGAAATGTGAAATAGAGCGCCAAGTTCGCACATCGCTGAGCAAAGTCGCAGAATCGTTTTCAGTGTCTGATGACGAATTTCCCCCACGAATCATTATCACTCAATTCTGCAAGTGGTTCTGATTTACTATCGCTGTTCTCTAGCCGGTCTAAAACCGCTTTTGACCTAAAGGGACGCTTTTTGGACGCCATGGACGTTTCTCAGTTTCCAGGCAGAAAGAACAGACAAAATGCAGGCAGGGCGCCGGACAAAGCACTCGGGACAAAATGTATGTGAAATGGGTTGAAACAGCAATGTTTTACTATGAAAAATGTGTTTTGAAAAAATGAAATTTTTTAAAAGTTTCATGCCCGTACGTCCTGACATCACAGGGACCGGAACACAGAAGCCAGATGCCGGCATCGGCCGGAGGAGATGGCGGGGGACGCTGCAGGGGACGCATCGCGGGAGCGACAAAGCACTCGGGACAATATGTATGTGAAATGGGTTGAAACAGCAATGTTTTACTATGAAAAATGTGTTTTGAAAAAAATGACATTTTTTTAAATTTTCAAATTTCCCGCCGCCTCAGGCGGCGCCCTTACGTCCTGACATCACAGGGACCGGAACACAGGAGCCGGATGCCGGCATCGGCCGGAGGAGATGGCCGGGGACGCTGCAGGGGACGCATCGCGGGAGCGAAGGACAAGGTAAGCTCTGCAGGGACTCCCTATGCAGCGCCGCATGGTAAGCCCGGGTGTAGCTCGGGGTTACCGCTTTTGGCACTGACATTTTACCCCGAGCTACACTCGGGAATACCGCCAGGGAGGTTAAAGTAACGCATCGCAAAAAATGGCCTGGTCAGGAAGGGGGGGGGGGGGGTAAATCCTCTGGAGGGCGAGTGGTTAATGAATTATTTTGTACCGTCTCTAAATACTAACACCCACGCAGTACTAAAGACAGGCCCTCTTGACTCAAACTTTCCTTCTTCATTCTGTGTTTATTGGCCCCAATGTTTTCTCTTTGGCCACTGCCAGCAGGCGCTCAGGGAAAAAAAAAAATCCTGACATTTCCTGTATTTAAGAACAACCTCATGTGAGGAATTCTGCTGAAGAAACAAAGAAAGTTCAGAACAGACAAGAAAAAAAAAAAACAAACTGAAGCTGAACATCAGAATTCAGTGTCTGGAGTCACAGACGTCTGACCAGACATCTCATTCTGGTTGTCGTAGAGGAGAGATCTTTATTTTCTTGCTTTAAGATGTTATGGAGAAGTATCTTCTTAATGCTATTGTATTTGAGCCAGCTCCCCAGCTGCCGAGCTCAAGAAAAGGAGAGCGGGGACAGAATTGCTGATGAGGAGTCTGAAATGGAAAATCGTATTTCAGCCGAAGAACAAAATACTGATTTTGAGAACCTGAGAAAGGTAAGATTGTTTCCATATAATTGCCGACATTTAAAATAACCATTTGACTGCAAAACCAACAAAATGCTCAAGATATTAGGTGATAAAAAGAACTATTGTGACATGTCGGTACATGCTTTGAGCCCGAAACAACAACACGGGGCCCCATAAAGCCACCCTGACAGGGCCCCTCCAAAAGAAAAAAATTACTATGGTTCATTTATGAATGAACACAGTGAGTGATTGGTACCAATCACTCATTGTGTTCATTCGGGAAAGAAAGGGGCTGGGAAATGTGACATATTTACCAGAGCCTTACCCCACTCTCCTTCCTGAAGGATCCTATTGTGCTTGCAGCTGCTGGTGGGAAGGAGAGGAGGGAAGCTGGAAGCACTGCAGGGGGTGGGGGCACACAGGGGGGCAAAGGCAGCACAAAGGTGTCAATTTATTCAGAT